GTGTTTATCTCAATCTGATAAAAGCCACACATGATAAATCAACAGCTAACATCATACTAAATGGACAAAAAACTTCACTGTAAAATCAGGAACAAGACAAGGAAGTCCCCCTATTACCAATCCTATTCAATACTGTTTTGGAAACATTAGCCAGAGCAATTAGACAAGCGAGAAAAACAAAAGGAATAAGAATAGGAAAGGAATCATTTAAATTATCATTGTGTACAGGTAACATGATACTCTACAAAAAGACCCCAAAAACTTCACCAAAAGACTACAAAATTTGAAATATCTAGGAGCCAATCTAATGAAGAAAGTAAAACACCTCTACCTTAAAACTACTCTGGCAGGGGATTTAGCTCAGCAGCATAAATGCCTGCCTGTCAAGCATGAAGTCATGAGTTCGATCCCTGGTTCAAAAAACAAAACAAAACAAAACTACTCTGAAAAAAGGAGACTAAAAAGGATATCAGAAAGTATAACGATATCTCTTGCTCTTGGGTAGGAAAACCAATATAGTGAAAATGGTCATACTTCCAAAACTGTTATACCGATTTAAAAGTCCTGAAATCAAAATTTCCATAGTATATCTTATAGAATTAGAGAAAATAATCCTAAAATCCATTTGGAGCCAGAATAGATTAGAATAGCAAAGGCAAATCTGGGCAACAAAGTAAAGGGGTGGGTCACAATCCCTGAGTTGAAATTAGACTACAAAGTTACTGTAATAAAAACAGCTTGATACTGGCAACAACACCCATTCTGAGGATCAATGGAACAGATTAGAAGATGTAGAAACAACTTCAGATATACTCTGCTACCTTGTTTTTGACAAAGAAGCTAAACACCTTCACTAGAAGAAAGAGAGCTGATGGTGTTCAAAAACTGGCTTTCCACATGCCAAAGATTAAAACCAGACCCATATCATTCACCACATACTAAAATCATATTTAAATGGACGAAAGATCTAAATATTAAACAAAAACACCAACTCTGTTAGAAGATGGAATAGATAAGAGATTTTTTTAAAAAAAAAAAGGGAATCACACACAGGATCTTGCACTTGCCAGGCAGGTGCTGTGCCACTGAGCTATATATCCCCAGGCCCTGGTAGAAATTTTGAAGACATTGATGTAGGCAAAGACTTTATGAACAAAATCCCAATGCAGTGGAGAAACAACCTACAGTGTGCTAAAAATTTTTTGCCATCTGTTCCACAAAGGGCTAATGTCTAGAATATATGTATAACCAAAAATCAGACCCCTTATAAATTTAAAGGCCCAATCCAAAATGGTCATTTGAAAGAAAGATGCCTCTTGGGGCTGGGGATTTAGCTCAGTGGCATAAGTGCCTGCCTTGCAAGCAGGCAGTCATGAGTTCGATACCTGGTACCAATAAAAAGGAAAAAGACCAAAAAAAAAAAAAAAAAGAAAGATGCCTCTCAAGTGAAGCAGAAATGGAAAAAAAAAAAAAAAAAAAAAAAAAAGAAAATGTTCAGTATCACTGATCATTCAAGAGATGCAAATTAAAACAATACTGATATTCCATCTCATTCCAGAAACCATGGCTATTATCAAGAAAACAACCAATAACAAATACTGGCAGGACTGTGGGGAAAAAGGAACACTTATCCATTGTTGGTAGGAGTGTAGACTAGTGCAACCACTGTGGCTATCAGTATGAGGATTCCTCAAAAAACTATGACTAGAGGTTCCATTTGATACAGCAATTTCTCTTTGTATCTTCTCAAAATAATTAAAAGCATCATATCACAAAGATATATGTACACCCATGTTTATAGTGGCTAAGTTTACAACAGGTAAATTTTAAAAACAGACCAAATGCTTGTCAATTGATGAATAGATTAAATATGTTTATTATAGAATGGATAAATACATTTATTATAGAATGGAGTACTACTGCCATAGAGGAAAAGCTTGAGACATTTCTAGATAAATGCACACACCTTCAAACCATAAGTCAAGTGAAATAAGTCACAAATAGATGTGTGAATACCGCATTGTTTCTCTGGCATAAGAGGTAGAAAGTGTAAATAAGAACCAAAAAGTATGGTAGATTTTGGGAAATGGGAAGAAAATGTCCATATGAGAAGGGGAACAAGGGAGCCAGGAAAAGAAAAGGAAGAGATAAGAAAAAAAAAAAAAATCAGAGGAAAAGGGAAACAAAGCTTTTGCAAGTAAGAAGGGGAACAGAGGTCAAATGGAGGGGAGGGGAATGGAAAAAAAAAAGAATCAAGATATATCATGTACAGGTAGATATTCCCTTTGATTAATGTTACCATTACGTATATCTAAAATGTACCAATCCAAAAAAAAAAAAATAAGAGGAAAAAAAATACTCTGGGGCATGAATACTCTGAGAGTATTTCAGCAGAAATTTTCCAAGAGACAACTAAGTAATGGTATGTATAAGGGCATCAATCCACTACGTATGTATAATTCACCATGTACTTATGTGTAAGTATGGCTTACAATTTTTAAACATTTTTATTTTGGGGTGTTAGAAGTTGAATCCAGGGCCTTGTACATGCCAACAACTTGTTCTACAATCCAGCCTTAGTTTCTGCTCTTTTCTTTGTTTTCTTTTGAGACAGGGTCTCCCTGTGTAGTTTAGGCTGCTCTTGAGCTCACTATGTAGCTGAGTCTGACCTCAAATACATAGTGATCATCCTGCCTCAACATCCTTCGTGGTGGAATTATAAGGATGTGTCACCATGCCTGGCAGGCCCTGGTTTTCAATGCAGTGTGTAGGTCTCTAAAAATAAAAAACAGAACACCAGCACTTGGGAGCCTGAAGCAGGAGGATCATTGCAAATTAGAGACCAGCCTGGGCTACAAAGTAAACCCAAGGCCAGCTTGTAAGCATGGTCAGACCCTGTCTCAAAAGAAAACAAACAAAAAGGAATTGTAAGTATTTATGGCTACTCCAACTGATTGGGGGGAAAGGGATTTCTAAATAACTCCTTAAAAGACATCATCATCATCAAAAATATTCCCAATAACTTATTTTTCATGTTTAATACTTAAAAAATACGTATTTTGATTAGTAGCTTTAAAAATGTTTGATGATATTAAACCAATTGAATGTTTATTTCTTCTATGGCTTTAAAAATTACCTAACAATTTTTTTTTTTTTTTGGCGGTACTGGGGATCGAACTCAGGACCTTCTGGCGCTTGCCAGACAGGCACTTACGCCACTGAGCTAAATCCCCAGCCCAAATTACCTAATAATTTTAAATGTCAGTATTACAACACTGCAACTATTTAAATTCATGGTAAATTTTAGTCAACTTAAAATATTTGATGGGAGAGAATAGGTTCCAAGTCCTATAAAGGGTGAAAATGCTAAAAAAAAAAAAAAAAAAAAAAAAGTATCTCCATGGGGCCTGGTCCCCTTAATTTTCTTGAGTCCTCTGCTCTCTCCCTTGCTCAACCTACTCCAAGCATAGACTCTTTACCAAGAAGCTCAGAATCCCTATTTGCCTCAGACCTTTTGCACTCGCTATCAGTTCCTCTACCTCAACATTTTTGCACACAAGATTCTTCCCCTTAGAGATGAGAGGCCTTCTCATCTCTAGTTCCTTTCACCCTACTTTTTTCTTTATAGTATTCATTACTCTCTGATATAATTATTTTCCTACATTAGATTGTAAACTATTGCAGGTGGGAGTACATTTTGTTCCTGCTGTAACACCTGCACAACATTACCTCATATGTAACAAAAAATATTTTTAAAACAAATGAAAGCTTTATGTGGTTTATTCTTACTAATATATTTTTTGTAGTGCTAGCGATGGAACCTTCAAGGCCTACTACTAAGCTACACCCTAGCCCTGTAATGGTGTAAGCATTTACACGAGCGTATTTCTAGAATTTACAAGCCTAATTCTGAAAGAACTGTTGCACTGCACAAAATCTCTCCCATACGTTTTAAAATAAAAGACAACTTTTTTCCTTTTATTTATTTATTTAGTGGTACTGAAGGTTGAACACCTTTTGCACTTAGTTTTTGTAGTCAGCTCAGTGCAACAAGGTTCTTTGAGAACTTTTAATTTTACAACGTGGTCTTGCTAATCCATACAAGTTGGGCTGGAACTCTGGACCCTCTTCCTCCCAGCGCACTGGAATGACAAACATGAGCAACTATGCCTGTAGTAAAGTAACCCTATTACTGATAATGTTAGCCACTGTCACTCAGCCCTGTCCTGTAGATAGGACTCTTAGGACATAACATAGCTTAGATAGGTGACTCCTCAATGAGACACACATCGGAATGTACATATATAAGCTCTTTCCCCAACTTCCTGACTCACGTTTGGGGTGTGGTCCTGGCATCTCTGCTTTGAAAAAGCTCCTCCGTTGATAACACTGATCTGTAGCTACAGCCATCACCTAAGAAGCTAAAAATAGCTGTAAAGGAGTTTCTCCTCTTCGCTAAATCTTTTCAGCCTATTTCTGGTAGGCCTTAGATGAAAGAAAAACGCCCTGCTTTAACGCGCCTCAAAGCCACCGCGCCTCCGGGGAACGCAGGGAGTCCCCTCTCCGCAGGCATCAGGAGGCCCCGGCGACCGACAGCGAGGCAGGTGAGGCCCCAGCGGAGCAGCGTCCCGTGCAGAGGACAGCGCCTCTCTGAAGACGTCTCCCGGCACCACCCGGGCGAGCGTCCCATCCTTTCTCCTCCTTGCCCCACCGCTGCATCTGGACTCGAAACCATTGCCCGCCAAAGACTATCCAGCGTCCACGGCTTGTGACTTTTAACAGTGCCTTCGGAATTAACGAACTGCTACCCTGACGCCAGACAACTCCACCAGACGCAGTCACAGGCCATTCGGACCGCCCGGCCCCGCGTCCCAAATTCCCGCCTCCCCCAGAGGACGTCTTGCGTGCTTGCGTGCGTGCGTGCGCGCGCCGTAACCTCCCTCCTTCACCCGCGCGACGCGAGGGCGGGGGCGCCGCGTGCGCGCGCGCTCTCGTGGGTTCGCTTGCTTGCTCGCTCTCGGCGGCCGCTCTCGCTGCGGCTGCGGCTGAGGCTGGGGGCGGCGGCGGCGACGCGGGCGGCTGGCGGCGCGGGGCGGTCCGGCGGGTTCAAAGAGGAAAACATGGCGGAAAACAAAGGCGGCGGCGAGGCTGAGAGCGGCGGCGGGGGCAGCGGCAGCGCGCCGGTAACTGCCGGGGCCGCGGGGCCCGCGGCGCAGGAGGCGGAGCCGCCTCTCGCGGCGGTGCTGGTGGAGGAGGAGGAGGAGGAGGAAGGCAGCAGGGCCGGCGCGGAGGGCGGCGCGGCCGGGCCCGACGACGGGGGGGTGGCCGCGGCCTCCTCAGGCTCGGCGCCGGCTGCCTCAGCTCCTGCGGCTTCAGTGGGGCCCGGAGTTCCCGGTGGGGCCGTCTCGACTCCGGCCCCAGCCCCAGCGTCGGCTCCCGCTCCGGGTCCCTCGTCGGGGCCGCCCCTGGGGCCGCCAGCCTCGCTCCTGGACACCTGCGCTGTGTGTCAGCAGAGCTTGCAGAGCCGGCGCGAGGCGGAGCCCAAACTGCTGCCCTGCCTTCACTCCTTCTGCCTGCGCTGCCTGCCGGAGCCCGAGCGCCAGCTCAGCTTGCCCATCCCGGGGAGCAGCAACGGCGACGTCCATCAAGGTGAGCCGCGGGCCTACCCGAGGTCTGGGCCGCGGTGGGGCTTGCCAAACCCAGGAAGATCCGGAGACGAAGGTGCTATGATCTGGGGCTGCTTGCACCGGCGCGGTCCCCAGGGGTGTGTATGCGAGGCGCAAGACACGGCCCCTGGGGGCAGTTTGGGAGAAACTGGACAGGGGGTGAGACGGCAGGGTGGAGGGAGGGGTGCTGGCTGCGAGGACTGGGGGAGGGGACGCAGGCTTTGAGGGAGCTTGTGGGTGCGGGTACGTCCTAGCGCTGGTTTTGGAGCAGGGCATTCGGACTAGGGGAGGAGTAGTTGAGGTCTGAGACATCGATTCTGAGGAGTATGGTGTGGAGGACCCAGACCAGGAAAGGGCTGTTGTTGAGAGAGTAAGAGATACGGGCTCTGGAGGCAGGGAAATTGGCCTGCTCTCGACTGTGCGAGAGACTACGGATTAAATGGAGGTAAATGAAAGATATTGGAGAATTTGGAACCAAAAGAAGACGCTTGTTACAGAATAATTTCAGGATGACGTTTGGGCAGGAGGAATTCGGAAGTGATAATAGCTTTGAAGGGCCTAACTGCTTGGGGAAAATTGTAAGATTTGAGAATGAAGGAGGAATGAACTTTGAAGGGGAATGGAAGTTAGGGAGACCTGGGTGCGTATTTGTTAGGTTTGTTGGACGTTAATGTGGCCATAGTGTTCGGGGCAATACAGTACTGTACTCAATAATGAGGCTCTCATTGGCGGTCTAATAGATACCTGACGTATAGTAGTTGAGGTGGGTACTCAGTGCCATGATTGTGGTACAATGGAGGGAAGGTCAAGAAAACTTCACAGTAAGGGAAATCCTGGAGCAGTTTGTTGAAGGATGAGTACTTTACTGATTTGGAGGGCATTCAGGTTACAGGGTATGTTCTACATCTCTGCAACTAGAGGACATGTAAATGATTGATGGAAATTATGTTGGATTGGTGGGCTGAATAAATAAGGGATCACAGTCTTCTCTCTGAAACCTTTGGGTCTAGTTGTATTTTGGATTTTAGAATGTACAGTGTCTTGAACTTTTGTTTTTCCTGATAATGTCCCTTATGTAGTACTGTAGTTGGGTTTGGGTTTACATCTCATCAAACATACTAGTTCTGCCCTGAAACACATGAATGTCACAATGGGATAACAGATGAATAATAGCCTCCTGCAGCTCAGGTAGGTTTTGTTGCAGACTTAACTAAAATTTCAAAGCATCCGATTTTGAAACTGTAGGGACAGGATTGTGGATCTGTACTAAAGGATTGGGGTTTCATTTGTAGAGTGTAACCCTTCTGGAAGGGCTTTTGTATAAGGAGGCTAAAGGATCAGATTTGTGATCCAGAAAGATCATTTGAAGCACTTGAGGAATGAAGGAAGCCCAGGGAAATCAGTCAGGAGAATGTTGAATGTAATCAGGGGGAGAAATTATCATTTGAAATGGGTCTAGGTAAAGGATTCATAACAAGTGTTACAGAAGGAAGTATTTCAGTATGGGGAATGACAGGAGCTTTGAAAAACATTCCATTTGGTTTGTCTCTACTACTTCCCACTTACAACTTGGACAAATTAATTCTTAGCGTCAACTTGCATATTTGTGAAGTATGGACAAAAGTACTTCGTAGAGTTATTGGGAGAATGAAGTGACAGAAAATGTGTAGTGACTAGTAATGTCAGTTACTAATGAAATGGCAGTTTATTAGTAGTATCTGAGGGTAAGTTGCTGTAGGAACAGAGGTGGAGAGTGATACTGAAGTTGCTGTGAGGGAGACACATATGTTGAGTATATTCCAGGTTTCTTGCTGGGTGAAAGTTAATGCACATAAAGAATTCTGGCACAAGACTAGGGATGTAGCTCAGTGGTATGGTAGAATGCTTGTCTAGCACGTGTGAGGTCCTGGGGCTATTTTCTCCAATGCAAAAAAAAAAAAAAAAAAACTACAGAAGTACAAAAGCAAGTGTGTGTGGTAGAGGTAGAGAGAGGGTCCCATGATTTCAATTCTGGTTATTTTAATTTTGATGTATTTTTGGAACATGCAGGTAGGAAGGAATGAAAGAACATATTTTCATATAGGAGTGGTGGCACATGTTTGTAATCCCAGTACCCTAAGAGGTTTGGGAAGGAGGCTTGCAAATTGCAGCCCAGCCTGGGAAATTTAGTGAGACCCTGTTGCAGAAGTTAAAAAAATAAAACGTGTAGATAAGGAATGGATAAAAAAAAAAAAGTATTTTTATACAATGGAGTATTACACAGCTATAAATAAGGATAAACTTGAGACGTTTATAGGGAAATGGATGCAACTCAAGACCATACTCATAAGTAGAATAAGGCACACTCGCATGTCTAAATATCATACTGTATCCCTAGTTTAAGAAGCTGAAAAAGTAAATAAGATCCAAAATATACAGTAGATTCATTTGGAAAGAAACCATTTAAATGCAATGGGGGAAAAAAGAAAAGAGAAATGGAAAAAATATACACACACACAATAGTTAAGATAGTTATACTACTAATTCCGTTAGTTATTGAAAAGATTTGTACCTATAATTGTTCAGTTTTACATGCTTATATCTTGTAATATGAGCCACTATTTTGAAGATAGCAATACGCAATATACTAACCATTGTTACTCTCCTACAATCTTTTTTTGAAATTTTGTACCATTGTTTTTACTTTATTTTTTCTTTAAAGAAATGTGGGGAAGAGGCTGAGATATAGCTCAGTATGGGGGAAAAGGTTTTGGCTGATAGAGAAGATAATTAATGATAACGGATATATAGAGGATAGCTACTTATGGCCCCCTTTGCATAATAAGAGACATGAGATTTAGTGTTTTTGTGAAAACCTGGGTTAAGTAAGAAAGTTAGAGGGAATTCAGAATGCAAACAGTGTTTGATGAGAATAAGGGATTGAGGCTATCAAATTGCCTTTCCAAAGGTTATGTGGGAGAGAAGAATCTGTATATTTCCTTTTTAATTGTTGTTTTCGAACTAGAAAAAAATAAGTGGAATAGAATAAATAATGTCAAATCTTAATATTACTGTCTAAACACTGACGCAAACTTGTGGAATCTACTAGATTTTTAGGTGGGGAGTCTGAGAAATATTTTGGCAGTAACTCATATGTACCCTTTGCTTTATTTTTTAAAAATGGGACTGAAAGAGTTGGGCAAGGTGGCATGTTTAGTGAGACCTTGTCTCAAATTAAAAGGGCTAGAAGGTATACTTTTGTGGTAGAGCACTTAGCTAGCATGTGCTAATTGTTCTCTGTCTCTGTCTCTGTCTTTTTTTGAGACAGGATCTTACCGTATAGTTCAGGTTAGCTTTGGACTCATTGTGTAGCCCAGGATGGCCTCAAACACACTATGATCCTCCTGCTTCAGCCTCCCAAGTGATGGAATTACAAGCATGCACCACCATGCCCAGCTTTTGCTATTCTCTCTAGATTGATGGTTCTAAAAAGTGTAGTTCAGACCAGTGTCAGCACCATTATTATCTGCTACCTTGTTAGGAACACAAATACTTGTCTCCATTCCAGCCCATTTTGACCATCAGTCTGTTTTAGCAAATTCTCTAGGTGGTCCGATGCACACTAAAGTTTGAGAACCACTCTTGAATAAAGAACCCTTCAAATATTTCATCAGAAAAGTTTGTTCTGTTTGTTTTTTGACTGCTGATTTTGTTCTAGAATCTTTTTTTTTGTGGTGCCAGGGATCGAACTCATGACCTCTGGTTTGCCAAGCAGGCACTTATGCCGCTGAGCTAAACCCCTGGTCTTTGACTGCTGATTTTAAAGTACTTTCCAGGTTATTCTGACTTACCTTTTTATTTTCACAGCACAGCTGAAATCTAAAATATTTATTTTTTAAGGTTTTTTTGTTTGTTTGTTTGTTTGACACAGACAGGGTCTCGCTATGTAGGCTGGCCTTAAAGCATTTGTTTTTTTGATATTGGGGATCAAACTCACAACTTCGAGCTTGCCAGGCCAGGTGCCTGTACTGCTGGCCTCGAAGCATTTTTTGAGATGATCTTACTCTGTATGCTAGCCTAAAATACAATTCTCCTGCCTCAGCCTTCAGAGTGCTAGGTTTACAGCCACCATGCCTGGCTTTCAAAATGTTTATTTTTATTTACTTACTTGTCTCTTATTTTCCACTAGAATATTGGAGAATGTATGTTTAGTAAATGGCTGAGGATTACCTGGGGAGCCGCCTCTCCTTTTTGTTTTTGTTGTTGTTTTTTGTTTTGTTTCTTTTTCCTTTTATCAGTACTGGATATTGAACTCATGACTGCTTGCTTGCAAGGCAGGGGCTTATGCCACTGAGCTAAATCCTCAGCCTGTTTTTGTTTTTTGAGACAAGGTCTCACTGTGCTGTTGACTTGGAACTCACTGTGTAGCCCAGGTTGTCCTCAAACTCTTAGTGATCCTCCTGCCTCAGTCTCCCTAGTGCTAGGATTACAGGCTTGGGTTACCACTCCTAGCCTGGAGGGCTTCTTGAAATGCCAATTTGGGAGTTTCTTTTGGATCGCAGATTCAGTTCACTTAGGATCTAGTCTAGTTATCTGCACTTCGATTTAAGTGCTTCTTGTGGTCCAAGTGATACCTACTATACTTTAAGGAAGTTGAATTTAAATAGTTTAAGGGGGAAATCTAACCTATTTACCCTTGGTGTATTTGAGACATCAGCATAAACAAGTAAATATTTGTTGACTCTCAGCAGTGAACTTTTTAAAGTGCTCTTTTGATTTAAAAAAAAAAAAAAAAAAAAAAAACCAGTGTTCTTTTTTGGGGGTTGAATCAGAATAGCGTTTGGTAAATACAAATTCATATTGTAAATCAAACATACAATATAAAAATACAATAAAATACAATATATCTGAACAAACTCTCAAAGAACTCTTAAAATGAGTTGTTTGTACTAGTGTACGTCTGAGAGCACTGTGAAATAATGTGACTGGAGAATTGGGTTGGGA